ATTTGAAACGCTGCAAATTGTGTTTCTAGTTTCCAAAGGTACGCTAGACGCTAAGCAAATCAAAAGCAGGGATGCTTCACGCAAAGTAATTGCTTCTACTAATAATTTACATGAAATATTCACTGAGCAGATGAAAGTTGGAGTAACTAAAAATGGTTAAAGAACCCGCGCTTTTCATTTTTTCAAAAAACTTTATAAGTCTAAAGTTGCTTGACCTACAAGAGATTACTTCACATAGTTTATAATTATGCAATCAATTTAAGTAAGTATGACCACTACAAGGTAACAAGGCATCAAAAATGACCACTTAGGTAAACGCCTCAACTAATTTAGCCATTTGCAGTAAACGTTGCAACGAAATTTGCTATTACCTTAAAGATGTTGTAGTTTGAGCGAACTTTTATAAATTTTCTGATTACTTTTCCAAATATTAGTCGTGTGTAATTCGCTGTGAAAAAGTATTCAACAATGTCAAAAACTCAAAATTTTGGGAAAATTTTAGCCGCCATTTTTGCATGGACGAGAAATAACTAAAGTCAAAAATGGTAATGATGCAAAGAAAAAAATGCTTTTGACCATAAAAGGTATGTTTGAAACAATGAAACTGAAAAATAAATTAATTAAAAAGTAAATTGATTTCATTCCAAAATTTCAGAAGTGCAATTTATAGAATTTTAGATTCTGAGCAATAATTCAGTGATTTAATGCCAATTTAATAAGAGAATCAAACAATCAGAAGTCATTAAAATTCATTTTGGGATTCATTGAAATACCAAAACATTAATTGAATCTGTTATTCGTCTAAAAGTTTCTTATCTGTTTCGAAGGCATTTTCTTATTTAATTATAGGATATTCCATTTTCATGCATACTTCTTGTGATCATAGATTATAAGAACTAATCATTTTATCAACTGTATCCGATATCTATTCCATTCATTAATTCTATTAATCTGTGAATTTTCCCATTAATTTATTCTTTGTTAAAGTTTCATAAAAACTTTACTGGACAACAAGTCATTTGCAGAACCAATTCAAATTCACACATTCATTCGAGTAAAACGTACAATGACTAGTGATATTTACTTGGAAGAAAGAATTGAGTTGTTAGAAGTTGGCAAAAGGTTACGTACAAATGAATTTACATTACTGCGCCCCAAACGTATGCTTTCATCGCCATTCTCCGTGAGTTCTGATTCCCTTTTTAGAATGATAGGCTTTGCATGAATACTACCAGACGAGAGAATAGATTCTGCGCTACTTCTTGATCAATCATTTGAATTTATACTTAACTGAAATTATTAGCTGTTATAATTAGCAAGCATTAGTTATTTAAACAATCATTAAGTTTTTGATATAATTCTTTCAATATTTCTTCCTTCCATTTATTAAGACTCAAAAAGTGTTCAAAACCAGAAAAATTTTTGCCATTCAAAATTTTCAGTATTGTTCGAACAATTTTTTCATCTTCAATTTTTTTAATGCATTTTTTCCAGAAAGGCAAGAAAACCATCCAATCGCAAAGTAAATTAAATTTGTACGCTTGTGATGGACGCTTACGTCTTATTCGAATTTTGAAGTTCACACCTGAAAGTGAAAATATTCAGTCGCAAACAGTGCATGAAGAAACTCGAATTTACAGCTGCGAAAACCTTAGTGAGGGTAAGTCACTTTACGTACTGTTTGCTCAAATAACTTAACTGCATAATTTACTTCCTCATCAGACATCTTTCTTTCTCATCAAAAAGTTTATTTAGAACAAATTTTTATTCACAAAAAGACAATAATTTTCAAAAGTTCAGTTTTTAGGTGATAAATAAATTTGTTATTTAAGTCTATTCTGAAGCATTTGTCGCAATTCGCAAAGATTTTTCAAACACTCTAACAAATGTTTTGATTTTTTGAAAAAATTGAATCAGAATGTGTTCAGAAGTTAAAATGTGTGCTTAATGATAATACGAAATGTGCTTAAGCCATTGAAACTTTGCTATGAAATGGACTTGATTGCAATCAGTTTTCAGTATCACTGATTATAATCACTTAGCATTATCAAATGATAAGTTGTTAAAGTGTGCTTAATGCCATTAATATTCAGTGCTTAATGCAATAGTCAATGTAGAAAAAGGTAATGCAGAAAAATTGCCGTCAAAGTTCAGTGATCCTGCTTATGCAAGATGTTATCATAAGACCATAGTCACGGAAGACGGAAACTATAGAATAGTCGGATTTATGGAACTGAGATGTCCCGGAAGCTTTAAAGAACCAGACAAGGTTATTGTGTATTACAAGTTATCAATCTGAGGTAAATTTGAGCTATGAATATGGGTTTGTGTTTCTTAACTTTACTATATTAATTTAATAATTAATTATTTATGCTTTTTCTTCTTATAGCAAATTACTCTCACTTTCATTTCATCGATATCACTTGGGATCAATTTTATTTTCTATAGAGATACAATCAAAAAGACTGAATAAATTAGTGAAGTACAAAATTTTTGCACTAAAAAATATAATTTGATTCAGAAACTGATTGCAAGAATTGATGAAACTTACAAGAGAGATGGCATAAAATTACAAGCTTGCAATCTGCGCTCCTATGATCAACAAATTGGTCTTAATAAGGGATTACTACTTATTGAAACTGCCTTGGAAATATCGAAAAAGGTGAGATTAAGGCTTACAAAAGTTATTTTTTATTATTTGCAGTCAATAAACATAGTGTATATTGCTAATAAACATATATAGTGAGGCAGTTTTTTTCCATTAAGAAAATCGTAACAAAAAAATCTGGAATCTTGTTGATATTTGCAAGCAGAAATATCAAGTTTTAGTGCAAAACAATAACTTATTTGATTTCAGCACTTTTTAGCTTAAAAAATTTGCTTTTAGAAATTTTTGTTGCTAAAAAATTAAACCTAAATCAGGAATTATTCTATTTTAACTCATAATTTGAAGTAGCAATCTTTAAATTATAAAATTTTGCAAGTTCAAAGTTCATGTTTTGTCTTTTAGACAACTTCATTTTTCTGGCAGGAAGAGCGTACCTATATGACTGAAAAGCATGAAAAATGGAACAGATCTTTGCTCTCGAGGTGTGATTTCGTTAACTTCTTGACCTCATTTTGATAGATATGCTAATTACAGTGCCTGGGCTTGCTAACTGTAAAAATTTCAAGTTTGATTATGGTTTGATCATAACTTGGAAGACTACAGACTGAAATATTTCTGAAATAATGTAATGCTTTAGATAAATAGAAGTAACACAGCTGGACAAGTCAAAGCACAAATTAAAAAATTTTTTTTCCCAGCTTTAATAAATTGTCAAAAATTATAGATTTTTCACATTTATATTTCATATTGCATAATTATTCATAAAAATGACTTTTATTGTGATTAATTTGCATATATTTAAATCTAGTCATTATCTATCAGCCCAAAAGCGATTGGAGCACTTGGGCATTGTGATAGCTCATCAGAAAAATCTTATCACTGCCAAATCAAGTGATGATTCTCCTCCAAATTCAGGTTCTTCTTTCTTTTCATTAATAAACTGAAAGCATATTTTTGCATACCAAAAACACTTTTACTAATTTGAATTATTTTCATGAGCCATTTAAAATATTTTTCCTTATCTGAATACCTGTTTCTAAGGTGATTTTGTTTTGAATATTATTAATTGAAACAATTCTTACTGAAGAATTGTGCATATTATACAAAATGACATTTTTATATTTTTGTTTCACTTATTTCAGGCTTAAGCGATACATCCGCTGGAGGCGGTAGTGAATCTAGTGGAGGCAAGCTATTTTTGCATAACTTTTTCATAGTTGATGCTAATTTTGAATATTTTTACATTTCGAGCACTGGATAAATTCGAATAATTAATAGCAATTTAGAACATTCGCCACATCGTTTATCTGTGAAGGAAAACGATACCAAGTAAGTACCTTAAAAGCAAGTAATTTGAACGAATTCTGCGCGAATTCAAACTCTGTTCTGAGAGTTCATTTTTTTTGCTACAGAAAATGCAAATAATTTATGCAAGAAAAATTTTGTTTGAAATTCTTTAAATTTTTTAGTTAACAAAATTAGCAAAAGATTATTTATTACTAAAAAATTTTAATTGAAATTTCTTCGCTTTTCAATGAACAATTAAAAGTAAGTAAACAAATTTTGTTGAGAACAGCGAAAGGTCAGACTAATTCTAGAAGTTCTCCACCCACAGCTGTTCACAGACCATCAACTACGAATACTGCTGTATCACCTTCTGATAGTAACTTTTTTTCAACTTATATAATTTGAGAATTTACATAAAATTAAGTTGTAAGCATAGACGCAGTAAACACCTTTTTTGAAGACTACTATTTGGTTTGAGCAATAAACTGTCTGGGAGTGAATAAATTTATATTAAAAAACGCATAATACTTGTACTTTGAAAAATCAGTCTTGAAATATACCAGAAATGTATCGGAACAGAGCCTGTATCCCAGAGGTCAACTAAAAGTTTAACTTTAGACTTCGTTAACGTTATCGCAACCTCAATCTTATTCACGTCTTAAGTTGTTTTTTCTTCATGCATACTTTTTATACTCTTTTTTTTGCAATTATTATCATCAAATAACATATTTAGTCCATTTTTGTTTACATTTATTTAATATTAAATTCAGTAATGAGTAAAAAATTTTTGCCTGCTTAATATCAAAGACATTTATTACTTTGAAAAGTTTTTAGCCTTTCTGATAACAAAACTTCAGTCAAAATGATTCTGTTTATGAATGATAAAATGTTTCCACAATTCGTGACATGACAGATTTAATGCACAAACATGGGATTCGAGAAGATCATTTTTCTTCTTGGAAGTCTGGAAATATCTGGCGTAAACATTCCAATTTGGCAACATCACAGAAACAACAAGACAAAAAGTAATTTTGATCGTAAAACTTTTATTTCTCTTGAATACATTACACGGAAGGTCACTAAAGGTCACTAAGGGTCACTAAAGGTCACTAAAGGTCACTAATGGCTACTAAAAACTGAAAGTTAATATTTTATAAAATTTTAAAAATATGCTGCGAATTTAAATGAACTTTTAAGAAACGTTAAGTTTGATAATAGTTTCAGAACGAAAAGCGTGCAAACAGAAGTTGATGAGCTGGCAAAAGTGCCAAAAAACGTTTCCCATGTAACCGACGACGTAACTCAATTGGATTTCAGTTCAGAAATCAGCTCTCAAGTCAATATTGTTAGTTGCAATGAGTATATTATATAGTCGTGTCGTGCATTCCACAGAAGATTATAGCAATTATTATCACTGAGAATCAAAGCTTAATTTAAAATCCTTATATTATTAAGCCTTTTATCTGTGCATAACATATTCTGTACTAAAATGTTGGTCGTATATAAATATTAATATGTTTTGTTTCTTTTTTTAATGCTGCTTCACTCAAATACATGACGTAGTTTCTAAAACTTATCTTTACGTACGATTGATTATCTTTACGCATTTTCTATGCACGAGTAGAGTTGGAACATTTTGCTGTTAAATATATAAAACGTTATGTGAATTACTTTTTTACAGCAATGAAATGGAACTAAAAAATAAATATTTTAAAAATTTCAGACAGCAAGTGAAAAAATTTCCCACGATGATAATGAAGTGACAGTTTATTTTGGCGGCCAAGAAGGATTGGATGTAATTAGTTTTTCATTTTATTTCTTGAAAAAAACACTGCTTTCTCGATGTAATGCTTTTAAATTGTTGCTATACATTACCTTTGCTAATTTCAGTTGAAATAATTTCAGTTTTTCAGAGCAAAATAAGTTTTAACTGATAACTATAAAAGGTCATAATGAACTTCAGGTTGCAATCTCGACTGATTTCAGTTTCAAGCTCAAGGATGAGTCAGGAACGGATGTAAGCTGTTACCAATTGAAAGAAATTAGTGTTGATGATCATATTGTTTATAAGAAAGATTAATTTTTAAAACTTAATGCTGCAAAAATTATCACAATTGGTACTCATCAGAAAAGAGGAAAGCAGAGCCAAAATTATAATTGTCTAAAATTATAATTGTAGAACACTTGCGTGTGTTTTTGCATTTCTGAATCCATAGAGTAGTAAAAATCATTTGCGAATAAAATGATTCAAAATTTTATTGCATAGAAGTCAGTACAGTATAACCCAAAAGTATTATTGCATGCATGCACGTTAAATTCCATCATAAACTGATCAAGATCGGTGTGTCGGGTGGAAATGAGAATTTTCGCAAAATAACTTAATCTGATTGAATTGCAATCAACTCTGTTCGCTGCTGATTCACCACCATCACTTTTTCCTTCTACAATTCATTAAAGGCATCAAAACTGAGCTTACATTTGCATTTTTCCATTTGTTAAAATATGCAAAAACTTGCAATCATACAAAAAAAAAAATTTGCATACAAAAATAATTCATTTCAGTGCACAATTTCTCATTCTGTCTGCAACAATCATTCATTCATATGCTGTTAAATAATGTTTACAAAAAAGATATGCAAAATTATAATATCCAATTTTGTGAAATATAAATAAAGTGCTAATTAGTTTGATCAAACCAAGCACACGTGAAATTGATTGATAAAAAATAAATTTTAGTTCAACAAATGAATTAGAATGGATTTTTTTAATAATTCGTAGGCTGAAGTTATTTATTGCAGTATTTTTCATATGTTTTTGCTGGAATTTTCGTTAAAACGTTGAATTGTTTGCAATAATATTGGAATCTGCAGTTTGCAACTGCAAAATTAAATTAATTTGTTGCTCGAAGACATTAATATATCAGCGAAGATAATCAATTTATCACTAAGACAAATATTAAAATTAATAAATGAAATCACTCATTTATTAATTAGAACTTAATGCAAAATGTCGTGCACACACAAATTCATAAACTATTATAATTTAGTGTTTGGTGATATTCATTGTTTAACATAAATTCCTGAAAAGTTCATTGAAACTTTTCAAAGAAAGCAGAAACGATTCTCTGAGGGGTAAAAGTCATCGCACATTAAAATAGACCGAAGCAAAACGTGTATTGCTATCAACGCGTCACTAAGTGCACGCATAACAAAACAAACTTTAGTGCATTATTTTATAAATTTGTGTAGTTAATTAACTTTTTTACACTTATTAAAAACTAAAAATTAGTGTCTGTACGTGTACGTAAAAATACGTCCGCAATTTCTTAGAATAAGTATTTTTTATTGTGACTGATGTAATAAGTAATGGAGAATAACTGAAACGCGGATTAGCATCCACCTGATCATTCAATCAATTTATTTACAAATAAAATGCAAAACAGGAAAAATATTGCCTTTGCAGATGGTGTCTGTTTGTGTCTGTCTACGTATGTATGTGTACATTCATGCTTGTATATAAGTGTGTATGTTTGTGTGCGTGTACGTCGTTTATCAATTCACGTATCATATTCATATTCAAATTAATAATTGAAAAGGCTTTTATTTAAGATGTAGTTTTAATTTCTCACCGACATTCATGAATAACTTTTATTTTCATATTATTGCTTTGCTTTAGTTGACTTGCAAAATGATATCATTACAAAGAAATAAGCAAACAAGCAAGTAAGTAAGTAAGGAGTAAATGTTTGTTGATTACTTCAGAATTTGTAGATTTTCCTTAACAAAAATGATCTTAGAGGATAATAAGTTTGAAATGACCTTTCTAATTTGCTTTCAACTGATATTCAACTAAACTCTTGACATTTCATCTATTTATAATTAATTAATTATCAACTAATCATGTCTAGTCTTTATCTCTTCTAACATTGTATTCTCCTGAGCTAAATTTGTTTACCCATTGATAATTCAGTTATATTATTTAATCCTACCAAATTTTGTTCATCAAAAAGCAAATGATTTTTTTGTGGATACAAAGCGATTAATAAATTTCAAAGATATTTTTTCATGAATTTAAGTGATTTTTGTGAAACATTTGATGAGGACTTATATTATAGTGAATATAAAAAAGATTTTTTCAATGAACAAAAACAGAAAAACATTCAATATAGTGATCAGTTCAATATAGATCACAGGTAAGTACTAATTATCAGTCATGAATGACTGATCTTGTGAATAGTTTGAATCTGATACAGCAGATCAACAGATTTATCTTATGAATAGTTTGCTTTTTATATCAAATTAATTTCATTACTTAATCATTTGAAGTCATTTTATTTTAATATACGTATAAAAGTATTTTCAAAGTAATCAATTTTTAATCACTTGTTTATATGTTTTGAATAGGTCATTTGAATCTTTTATGGGAATGTTTTGTAAGCATCTATGTAAATACAAGCAGTCTAGAGTACTATTGAATTTTCATTTTTATTAAAGTAACTATTCAGCCAAATGCTCGAAAAATACAATGCACAATGTCCATTTTAAAACTGTAAAATAAACTTGTATTTCTGGTTTTAGCATAAATGCGATTTGCATACAATTATAATAATAACCACAGAGGCATAACAAATGCACAAATTTCTATCACATGCTACTATTTAAATGAAATGTGTGTGCACGCGATTAGAATCAATTCATGTTTAATTACCGTAATTTACTAAATTATAGCAACTTCGAGATTATAAGTTATCAATATTTAACTTCAGCCTCAGCTGCATAGGGCAGTTGTTGAGGAAGCTGTGAAGAAGTGCTATTTTCTCGTCAATGACAACATCATGAATAAGACTGTAAAAGTAGTACAAAATATACAATGATAGTACAGAATGATAATAAGAGAAATATTAGTATGAGTAACAATAACAGCAATAATATAATGATATTGATAGTGATAGTGATAATGATAGTGATAGTTATAGTGATATTTATAGTGATATTTATAGTGATAATGGTAGTGATATTCCATAACAGTAAAATGAGTCAAGTGTGTACTTTCTTTCATCACAAACGCAGACACGTAATAATAGTTAGTTTTTCTCGCGGTACTCTTCTCTCGGCGATGACCTCTCGAGCCGAACACTACTCAATTTGGGTCGTTGATTCGAGCACAGCTGACAGTTGCACTTCCTCTTCCTTCTCGATTCCATTTTTCAGCCTCATTGATCAATCTATTTGCAATCATAAATCGATCAGACTTTCTACATTAATCATTAATTATCCCTAATTTGAACAATCAGTTATGAGGTAATAAATCGTCATCACATTTAACAGTGATGAGGTAATAAAAGTTCGTACTGTGCCCTGTTTGATTCCTTCGTAACGTATTGATTTGCACTTTTGATCTTGGTCCTAGATCAATTTTTGATCTAGTCTTACTTAAATCAAAAATTTTTCATGTCTATTCATGATATATTTCCATTCGATAAGCATAAATGTTGAGTACTAGAGTTGTGTTTTCTTTCGCACTGATAACACTTTATTTTACAGTAATTGTTGCTTTTGTCAGCAATGATAAAACAAAATTGATAACAATAAGCAAATGCATAAAGTCATTGCTCAATGATAAGTTTTATCATACAAATTTTGCCTCACAGTCTTAATGCTTTTGAATAAATTCTAACAGCTTATCACGCCAATATTTATTTTCTTGCTATTTAGCACTGACTAAAATATTTTTCGTACGTTTTAATATTTTATTATTTTTTTAAATTAATATTTTACTTTGTAAGCAAAATATTCAAAATTTTGTCCACAAAAAAACAAAAATTTTTAAATAAAACAAACTGAATAATAAGTGGAAAAATGAACAGTAAAGTTTTTTTCGCGCACTTTTCGGCGCAATAATAATTATTTACACGAAAATTACTGTGTGAAAAAATTCTCAACCAAATTCAGTTCTTATTACTACTCCTTTTTTTAAAATACGACACTTCTATGTTTGCTGCCAGTACAGCTCTGCTTCCGTTCTATCATAATTTGACTACAGTTCCGCTACAGCTAAACTGGACTTCTTCTTCATCATTTCACTATAATTCTATTAATTGATCATAATTGCTTCAGAATTCTTACTTCTACTTTGCTATCATTGGACAACAATTTCACGTCTGGACGTAAAGAACAAAAAAAATCTCTCCATTGTAGGGAAGAGCGATAATTATCAATAATAATGATTGAAGGTAAACTACTTTATAGTTTGATCGAGAAAATGATTTTGTGCTCAAAAGAAGAAAGAATTTTCGCTCAGATACTTACAGACCCACCACCTTCTATAATTCTTTGTCCATTAAACCATCGCCAGATGTTCGAATTATTAATTATGCTTTTCTCCTTTTCGATTTCTGTCGATCAATCAATATTTTTGCTAACAAAACTGCATTTTTAATTTAAGCAATATTCTTGATTTTGTGATAGAAAAGAAAATTACAGTCTGTCATGCTTGTCAGGTCAAGGTCTGATGATTACTTGCGATTAATTTCCACCAGTTTTAACTACCTTCGATAAATCAATCGATCTCTTATATTAAATGATGCTTCTGATATAACTTTGAATATACTTTTTAGAATATGCGGATGTTATGTGCCGTTCCCTTCATTTGCTAAAAGTCTGCATATTTATGCTAAAATGCATAATAAGGATGTCAAGATATTATTTAAATAATGTGGAAATTCAGTTGAATATTAGCAGTAAGTGTGACCTGAGGTCAGTAAGCACAGAATGATTGTATAATTACTGAAAAATGTAAATGTAAAAATTGTAAATGAAAGTGTGCGCGTTAATAAATATAAGTGTGAAATATTGCTTTTGCCGCAAAGTTTATTTTGTCGCAAAGTCCGCAAATGATGATTTTCGCGCTAATTTTGGTCATTTATATTAGTCAAATGATCTATCAACACTTACTTATATTGTAAATATCTGTGAAAACTGTAGTTTGTCAAGTTGGTGAGGCGACCAGATATGCTGGATCTTTGCAATCAAAAAATGTATCAATTTTTCACAAATAATCAGTTCTCATTATCACTCAATTAAATCGTTGTGAAATAGAAAGTATGGAGTGTGCGAAATTTGCATAATCACAAAGAATTTGCTTAATTTTAGTTATTTTACTTTTAGTTTTTAATTGCTAATAAAGTCGAACACGCCAATAGTCATTTCAAATATTATTGCCAATGCACGTAAAAAATTTCTTTTTCACAAATTTATACTTTTATACTTTTTCTAACTTTTTTACTACATTTTTTCATACTTCAAAAAAACTCTCTTTTTCACTTTTTCCTCACAAAATTGTTGTAATTTTCCCTTTTGCTAACTATTTCTTCAAAAAAAAAAATAGCTTTACAGCGAAACTACAAGTGATAATCTGTAATATTTAACAAGAACTCTTAAATTTATATGCCATAGTGTGTTCTACCAGCCATATATACAAGCACTGAAGTTATTTTTCAAATCTCATGCAAAAATTTCAAGAAACTACAAAGAATTTTGCATTTTCCTTAAACTGCTATGCATTGCATAATTCATCGATGAGTAAAACTTGATCTACTAATTTATCGATCAAGACTGATTTACCTGAACTGCATCGATTCATTAAGAGTTGTGCTAAAGTTTGTAAAAAGTACTATTGATATCCAATGGGTTATTTTTGACTTCCTATTTGCTGAATACTTATTTAAATCATTCGTTTAGTTAGAGAGCTTTTTTGAGTCTATCTTTCTGAATGAAACTTCAAAACAGATGACAAACTTCAACTATGTCTTTGAATATTTGGAAATGATATATGCATAATTCTGTCATTATTTCTGCTTGTTCAATAACAGGCGTTGTGGGAACAATTAGCAATTAAAATGAAGTAAATAAAAAATGAAAATTCTTGAACATTACATCTTGCCTTAATCTTTCTTTTTTAGTAATAAAAATTTCAGACCAAAACATTTGCTTAAATTTTAAATAGATAGTACTAATTTTATGCGCATTTTTTTCTGAATAAACAGATTGAAGACAATACGGTAATGCACGACAATCATGCATTACCGTACTGTACTTCCTCATAATTTCAAGAACTAAATTTTCATTGAACTTGACGAGGACTGATAGCAAGCTAGCCATTTTGGCTTTTGTCTTATCAATTTATTGAAGAGTCTATTTTAGTTGTTAATAATTAAATTTACTGGATATTTTGCGTCATAAAAATAATTGCCTAGCGACGTATGCCTCTTTGCCTTTTCTGATCTTCAATTCATTAGTACTACTTTTCATTTCAAATATGCTTGCAGCTATTTTAAATTGAAGTTCATTTTTTCTCGACTTATTAAAAAAGTCTTAACCAAATTAATTTTTTTATATTCTGAGCTTTGACAGCACTGAAAATCATCCATGCACTTGACATTTGATATGCACTGATTATTTGATATTATGCCACAGTGATTACGCCATCACTTACGGTAATTACGAGCAATTAAGTAAGTCTATATGAAATGAATATGAATATTTAAAGTAAGTAAATTATAAAGTGATGACTTTCTATAACAGTCGAAGTAGTCAATTCGTTTACTTCTAAAATATTTATTTCGTGGATTTGTATCAAATTTTCAATTCTATTATTCAAAAATTTATCAGTTTAATTTTGTGAGAATATAAGCCAGTCAACACTTACTGATTTCAGTGCTTGCATCATTGATAACAAATGATAAAATTATTCTGACTGATCGATCAGCTTATTCTAAAGGTAGTTTTTATGAATTTTATGTGATAAAATTCGTGAAAGTAGAAAGAATGCAACTTCATTTTTGTCTTATTTTTCTCTTTGCATAGTTAATTTTTGTTTTTTCAGAGATTTATTTACAAGGAGAAAATTAAATTAATTAATTAATAAAAATAAATGATGCTTAAAAAGGCCTTACATGCTCAGTTTTCTTAAGCAAATAAAAATGGAAAGCAAATAAGAGTTAAAAGCTTGCAGTGTATATTTTAATTTTACCTAATAAAAACTCACTTACTTTTACAATTTTTAAAAACTTGAAGTTGTAATTTCTCTTTTGTGACGTCATGTCATTGTGATTACATTTTGAGGATTGGAAACACTGAGTTTAAATTTAAATTACTGCGTGTATTTCGGACATATGTAATTACAAGGATACTTGGAGAGCCTTGCTAATGTAATTCCTCAAGTTTACGCATAGATTTCTCACGTTATTTGTGTTTCAATTAACGTCTTCTTAATGTTTTATTCTTTCTTTAGCGAAACCACTGAACTTTATTTAAGAACAAAATATTGCCATGCATATTAGAAACTATGAATCACACTGCAAAATTTATAGTATGCGTACTTTAATTTATTTAACCTTACGGTCTGATTGTGAATGAATTAATCATAGTTTGAAAAAAAGCAAATAATAGCATGCTAAATAAATATTTGTCGTTTTTTGATTTCATCGGTGCTATCATACTAACACGTCAAATTCGAGTAACACGTGAAAAGCTTTGTTTAGTTTTCGCTTTCAGTGAAGTTTTGAATATCAAAAAAAATTTTGCCAGAAATATTTTTACGTATACTCGTAAATTTGAGATTGCGGAAGTGATTGTCGAATTAACTATTATCATAAAGTTTTTTGTATCCCCACTGGGTCATGGTACCGACTTTATTATTAGGACAAATTTTTAATGATTAAAATTATTTTAATTTTTCTGTAAACCACATTAGATTTTTGATTGTTTGATTTTGAAAAAACCTTTAGTATGAAGGCATTACTTGAAAGTTAAATTTTAGCTTGTTAAATTTTAATGGATGTAATTTTGGATGATCCATCTCCTCCTCCACCATATAGTCCAGAGCGACCCCCTCCTCCGTATGTGAGGACGGTTGAGATTGGAGCAGATGACGTAAATGACTCGAAAGCGAAGGCAGATAAGGAAATGAAACTTCCTTTTTCCACAGTATCAGCTTCCAAGATTGTCTATCCTGAAGCAGTGCTTTTGCCCCCGACCACCTCGCAAAGCATCAATCCATCTGTCTCTGGTAAATTATTATGTTTCTGAACTCATTCTTAATTTGCCTGAGATTTTAAAAGAGTAATCTTTGATACATTTTCTTTATAAGTAACAAATTCTGCAGCACTCTAATCAAGCACAAACCTTTACTTAGCTTAATTGTAAGGGCGTTTGTTTTCCATTCTATGAGGTATTAATTTTTGAATATGCATTTGCTTAAAGCTGTTGCTAAACATTGCAATATCTAAAATTAAATCTGAAGGCTCAGTTGCTGCCCGAAAAGCATATTAATTTCTTTCAACTAATCGTATTATATAAAGAGTGTGAATTTTGCATTATACACGTGTTGAATTGCATTATTCAAATTTAGGGCCAAGTACAGTATCATTTGTGGTCACGAACTATGTTGTGAAAAAGGCAACAACCACAGAACCACACAATGAATATTGTCCGAAGTGTCAGGTCACTTCTAGCAATCATTTTTGTTGCATGCAT